TTTATTTGTCCAGAGTTTACAAGTAATTTAAAGTGATACTGACTTAATTTTCTAATCTTTATTTGTTCTGTGAAAACAAAAAGTACTTAATCAGGAATGCTTCTGTAACTAAGTTAGTATTATGTAAAACTTCTAGTAACAGCTGCTTAATCAATAATGTTTTTAATTCACAAAATTAGTGATAGCGTTAGTGTTACTTAAAATGTCCAATGTAATCAGTTTCAACAATTTGAGCTAAAATACATATTACATAAAATCATATTACAGTGTAGGCACTAATAGAGATGTATATGTGACAACATTTTACGCAATTAATCAATCCTTTAAAACCCTCCAAAAGTTCATTTTGATGGCATGAGTGTGTAGCTGCATTGCATGCTGAGACTGCAGTCCACTGAGACTGATGGGAAGTTTGATATTGACACCGCTGGTGATCGCTCTAATCCCCCCCTCCCTCCCTGTCAGAGGAGAGCCCACTGTGGGTTGTGTTTATCGCTCCTGTCCACTCGCCGTGTTGGAGCTAATGTTGGGTGACACTCAGACACCCTGGCTGATGTGTTTTGGCACTGCAAAGATCCCAGCTGTGCATTTACATATGCAATGACCCAGATTAGCATCCCTCCTCACACTCCATCAACACTGATTAGAGCAACCCAGTTAGAGGAACGCTTGTCCGGCGCGTCCCTGTGACCACGACAACCTCTGCGTGTGACTGTGTGTGCCACTCTCGAGTTGATTGCTCACCGGCTTGACAATGACAGCAAAGTAGGTGAAGTTTCAATGAGCATTAATTAAAGAGCTCATACCCCAAAACCAAACCATTTTCACTTTTGACTGTAATTTGGATATTTGCGAGATTGAAAGAAAGACAGATGGTCATTGTTGGACATTAAAGGGTTATGAAAAAATTATGGGGGAAAAAATGGTCTCATGGTTTGTAGCCACAGAGATAGATTTGGTTTAATTTGTCCATGTGTTCAGATATCTGCTCCTGAGATTTCTGTAACAAGCATTGCTGTACAGTTTTTTTTTTTCCAGTAAAAATACTGTAGTTTCTTTGGAAATTGTTGGTAGTGGGTTCTGTGGATTGTACAGAGTAACCAGGGCACTGTCTGTGGAAAGAGTTTTTGGTCAATGATTAGCACAACAATTGAAATGTGTATTGGGGTGGAGGCAGAGTATCGAACACCTTCTGAACCTGGATAAATACACAACATAACAAAACTATGCACATGGCTTATTTCCACTAGAGGTAAGAAAATATATTTTGTAATTTGGCTTAACTGATTCTTTAAGACAGATTCAAAGCCAAGTCTTTCAAAAATACTGTATGTGCAGAGGCAACAGGAGACCATATTGTGGAAAATCATTTTTAACTTTGTTGGACAATAGTGTCTGTCAATGCTACACACTTACAAACCAAGTGATTATGGTATGGATGTTAAAATAAGCTAATTTAGTCAATCGTTCCATTTTCTCATTTCAGAGTAAATAAAGCAGGTAAGCAGAGGTCACATTACACTACCTCAACCAAAGACCAAGGTTATGGAAAGAGTTAAATGAGAACCTAAAGAAATGTAATTAAAATGTGCCTGCAAAATAAATCAGCAAAATAAGGATTAAAATTTTGCATTTAAAAGTGTTCAGACTAATGATGACATTGCACCGTACTGTATTACTGTAATTACTGTATGTAGTGTTAGTGTAAGGTTGAGGGAGTACTCAGCTGAAACGAGTACCAAATGAGTAAAATGTGTCAAAATAATGGTCAATTCAAATATTTAGAGAGCAGGGCTGCCGATATATGATGCCAATATAAAAACAAAGAAAAGTCATGTATAATTATATTCTGTTCTATAGGAAATTCAGGCATATGTTTACAGCAGGATGCATGAGTGCACATGGGCTGACAGTGCATGCTGCCTGTTACAGTTGCTCCCGTTTAACAAATTTCTCTCCGGGGATCAATTAAGTATTTCTGATTCTGATTCTGATTCAAGTTATATTACAGGGCTCCAAACCAACTTTTTCACCACCATCCCAAATATCACAAGGAGCACTAACGTCATTCCACAGCAGCTGCAATTCAATTCAATTCAATTCAATTCAATTCAATTCAATTCAATTCAGTTCAGTTCAATTCAATTCAGTTTAATTTGTATAGCGCCAATTCATAACAGAAGTAATCACAGGACACTTTTCAAATAGAGCAGGTCTAGACCGAACTCCTTATAGCATAGCAATGACAAGGCTGCCTGTAGATTATCTCATTTTGCAAGACAATCTTGACTGACCAATTAATCGGTCTAAGACTAATCTATGTTTGTAAATATAGCAACTTTTATTAAAAAAACTTTTTACTCTTGTGATTAAACACATTCCTCTGAAGCTCAATTCTGTAAATAGTTTTCTACTTAATATCGCAACTTCTGATCAACCTATATCAATTTGCTTAAATGACTCATTTTTTCTATCTTTTATCACTTGAACGAGAATGTCGTTTTAGGGCAGGTGAAGATTTACGGAAGGCAGCATACAGTCAGTGAGCTACAGACTTCACATAACAATATTCACAACTCGGATTAATTTTAATGAAACACTTTGATTCTTTTGATTGGTGGACGGACTTTATGTTGCTTCAGAGTTTTTTTCCTTGTCTTACCATTTTGCCGGTAAGTCTGAATTAATTAACGTTATACTTTGGTGTTCATAGTTTCTATAAAAAAGGGTGAAGGATTGCATTGTGAAGAATCTAACCGATCTAATGATGTGCAGCATGTCCATATTGACAAAAGTTTATATTTGTGTAGGCGATCTGAACGACTTAAAACTCGCTCACCCGGTAGGTTTTAGGAGGTTTTATACAACCAGATAATTTCTATAAAATCCAGACCAGGCCTCTATTGGAGACCTGCGTTTATTCGTCAAAACATGTAGCCACACCAAGCTAGTAAAGGAAACCTGCATCTTTTTGGGACCCTGCTTTTATTGGAAGTTTTGACAAGGTAACAACAAATGGGGATCCAACATACTCAAATCATGGTTAGAAGAAAAAAAGTCCAAGAACACAAAATAAAACATGAAAAAGCTAAACAAAATACTTACTAAATACTATATAGAATAGTAACTGTAAAGTGGATTGAGACAGAAAAAGAATGACAAATTAAGTGAGAAGTCAAGGAATTAATTAACAAAGAATTCAATAAATAATTAAATACAAAATTGGCATTTAAGAGAATGGAATCAGGTGGTGGGTGAAGTATACAGTATTATACAGCTGGGACACAGCAGTCATTTAGCTTGTTAGTAGTGTAACTGTTTTTAATTGGGACTTTCATTTTTAGTGCTACATATCACCAACTGATTGATTGATTCAAACCTACCCTGGGCGGTGCTCGCACTGTGCTTTCTGTACAGCACAAAGACACACATGCACATCCGCGGCTCCCGGTGTGAGTGTCGCTGGTGCAGAGGAGGGGGTACATGCACAGGGGCAAAGTCGCAGGTAGATTACTGCGTGTCATTAGCAACATATGCTCTCATTCATTAACTAATTGCACTTTATTATGATGTAATTACAACGTCTGTAGTGTGTGATGACAAAAACTAAGCTGTGGCTCTCCAGCCAGAGCCATCCCTGCACTCCATGCAGTAATTGCCCTCTCGGCTTTGATGAATAAGGAGATGATTAACCTTAATTCCCAAACAGCATCGGGGCATTAGCAGTGAATGAATTACAGGGAAGTGGATGTGACTAAGCGACTTAATATGGTAAATTGGTTGAGCATCTGAAGTGGCTCCAGTGATGCTCTATTAGCTCAAGGCCTTTTCTCCCGCTGCTACTGATTCCAGGTCTGAGCCTCTTCAATCAGGCTCTGGCTGTGAGTTGAGATGCTGACTGTCCCCGTGCAGCGTAAAACTAATCATCCACTTCATGCAGGTAAAGATTCAGCCACTACCTCGCATGGGGGGAGCCCAATTATGTAATCTAGATAAATTCATCCCGAGCACATGGCATAATGACTGGGAGCTATCTGATCTAATATCCAGCTCGTCAAAAAAAATCCATTCAAAATGAGCACTGAATGCATGCCACAGAGTCCTATCCCCCCGCATTCCACACCATGTTCACTTTTAATAGGCGAGGGATTTCACCTCCCATTCTCCTAATGTACCCGCTGCCCAGGAGAAGAGGCTGCTTTTTGGCTGCCTAAGCAAAATGTAGATTGCGTGAACAAAAACTCCACTTGCATGGCAGTAAATATGATGACATTGCAAGCTTGTCTTTTGCCGACAAAGTTGTGATCCTTGTTTTTTTGATGAAGCAGTGAAAACAAGCCACTATGAGAGCATTGCCAGCTGTGTGGTTAAGGATACGAACGCTCCAGCCGCCTTTGCCCCCACCTCCCCTCTGCTCCTCTTCCGGTGTTGGAGGGACAAGAGTGGCGAACGTCAACTTGTGTGTCGTTATGGTCCAAATGAGCTCTGTAAAGGTGCTTATTGTGGGCTAAGAAAACAGAATAAATGTGTGTGTGTGTGTGTGTGATTATGCGCTGCACTGTTATGCGTGTACATCTTTTTGCCTAAAGATGCAAGGGGCTAATTTTGCTTACCAGAACCATTTTTGCTTATCAACAGAAAATGAGGAAAATATGGATCTTAGCTCATTATGGTGTTGTTTATGTTTACCCAAGTAACCCATTAAACCTGAGAGAGAGCCTCCTTTAACTGTGAGCATGTTAGTAATGTGGTCTCAGTCATTGGAGGAGGCTACTCATTACTCTTTAATGTGCTGAATAAACATTTTGCAGGCTCACTGTTCCCCGCTATTGTTCATATTGTTGTGAATGCAGCATTTTCTTATTGTTAGACTATACCAACAGATATGCTGTGCCGTGCATGCAAGCTACAAAACCACAGGGTGCTGTGGGTGGAGAGGGGGGGTGGGGGTTAATATATTCTGTGAAAGAGGCCTACTTAAACAGTTGCTTTACAGTACTGAGTGACATGTCATAGCATCATTTTATTCCTGATTACATGAGATTGATGCTGTAGGAAGCTGTCTTTAATGTTTTGGAATACTATACAAAGCGGGTAAGCTGTGCACTGTCATTGCTGTTGTTTGTCAAGAAATAGTTCCAGCACGCAAATTTCCTCTAAAACCACAAATTGTGATGTCTGTTTGTGTTTGAATTTATAAATGAGATACAACGTGTCATTTAGTGAACTGTAGTGGTTCTGGTAGAGGTGTTTTTGACTTTGGAGACAGCCAGGTTAGATGTTTCCCCCACTTCTTTATGTTAAGCGAGGCTAACTACATCCTGACTCTGTTTTTGCACTTAAAGGTCATTTAGGAGGATCTACTGCAGAAATGGAATATAATATTCAGAGGTATGTTTTATTATTGTATAATCACCTGAAAATAAGAATAGTTGTGTTTTTGTTACATTAGAATGAGCTGGCTAGCTCTACAATAGGGCCTTTTGTGTCTTTTGTGAGTTTCAAGGCCACCGCAGTTCCTCCTAAAACTACTTCCACCACAGCTCAAGGGAACATTGAAGGAAATTTAGTACTACAGATATTGTACCTTTGAAAGACACCCACTTGATTTGGCTAACACGGACTGCTTAGGATGAGGCCTTAACTTCAAATCAGCTTTGGAATACATTTTTGAACAAAAAGAGGACAGTGGATTTGGTCCCTCTGCCATCACTTACACTTTGAACTTCTTTCAAATGAAAATGCAGACTTGAAACTTGTTTGAGTTGGTCATCTATAAGAGGAAATATGTTTGCTTTTATTTTTGTTGAAATTACATTATCATTTGATGTTAATGCAATCGTAAAAAGTGGCTAATAGGCAATGCTTTAGTGCTTTATCATGTGACACTAACATAACTTTTACGGTAATAGGGTGACATGATGTTGACTGTGGAGCTCATTATTTTTAAAAAAAAAAAAATTAATATTATTAAATAATATAAAAATCTGGGTGAAAATGTAATTGATAAAAAGATATTTGAAGCACAATTCTTCACAATGCTTAACTGCTGTTTTTTTTCAATTACGTAGAGGGTGCATAATCAGCAGATCATTTGTGTTTTCTCTTCATTTTTCACTTCGCTTTCTATTAGTGGAAACATTTACTGAGCAGTGCTGAGCAGTCAAATATGTTATCTTGCAGCAAGAAACAACTCCTTTTTTGAAAGAATGCAGATATTTGTAGTGAAATGCAGTAAAAATTGAAATAACATTACCCAAAGGCATCTCTGGCAAGTTTGAAATTCACATTGATTTTCATAGAGTGGTCAGATTAATGAAAATCAGTGGCTGGCTGGAATGTAGAACTCTAAAACATAGTGGTTAAATATGAATGGTGAGATCAAACATGTAAACACACTGGCCTTTTAAAAGACTCAATCTAACACAGTTTGATACTTTATGTACATGTACACAACAATGCGTTGTAATAAATCTACTTTATAATTTCTATCATGGCAGAAAAGTTTCAAAAATAGATGTTACTTTAGCCCTTGTCAAACCAGTCTGTGGCGACATTCCTGCACCACTGATGTATTTCACATCAACCAGCAATGCTGGTGCTTTAAACAAAAAAGGATGCATCTACCAGTGGGAGAGGCCCAGTCTGTCTTGAAAGTGATCGGTTAGCTAGTTTACCTGTTCAACAGAATCAGATTATTCTCCAACTCCATCCTCTATCTACTCCTAAAGCCTCCATCAAATCATCCAGCTCCCAGTCTGGCTCTTCCCTGGAGCTGACAGCAGTGCACTGAATAGACTACCAGAGAATAAGTAAGCTTATCTGTCAAACTAGTATACTAGTATTTTTCTTTGCTTCCTTGGATTTGTTGAGATAATAATTGATTCAGTGCTGGTTGAACTGGAACTGTAAAACACTGGGGGAAATTCTTGTGTGTTTTGTGTTTGTGTAATTACTGTCACTCCCAGAGGGGGAGACAAAAGTTCCAAACCACAGGTTTAAGGTGCTCTCACATGATAAGCTGTAAAAGCGCTCAGTGCTGGCTGTGCCACTGTTTTCCTGTGGGGAGGCAGAAGTGGGTGGGCTGCACCGACTTGCCACTGAGTGCTAAACTCAATGTTCAAATGATTTCAACTCAGACCTCAGTTAGTGCTGACTTTATTAAGTGCACCAACAGCTGTATACGACATAGCCAGAAGCAACACATGCAAACAGGGAAGGTGGATAGTAAATAGATGTAAAAATGTAAAAAGTAATACACTCAAATACACTAAACAATGTAAAACTGTTGTTTCCCAGAAGCATGGTGCATAGCTTCCTTGTGCACTTGATGATGTACCTGTACTGCGCTTTGCCTCTGCAACTGTTGAACTATGCTGTGCTACCTCGCAGTGAACACATTTCTCCTCATCTGAAGGCAGCTTCAGCCCATCAGTTATTGGTTGCAGATTTCTTACATCACATTGTTTTTGTTTATCCAGGCAGCACCTTCATATTGTGGAGTGTAATGAACATTTGAGCCCCTAAGGATTGCTAGGAGCACTGTAGACCTTTGATTCCCAGCCTTTTTCATCAGATGTACCTCCACGGCCCAGTCACATCAGCTCTACTACCCTTTATCAACATGCTTTTGAATTAACTGATTTTTAACTGGATATTATTCAACACTATTATGAAATAAAAATATGGATGGATATTGTTATTAGACTTTTTGATAAAAGAACAGTGGTCCTGAAATTCTTAATATGTATTTTTTTCTCTTTTTTCTTTTAATAAAGTCAAGTTTACATGCTGCTACATTTCTAAGAACCAGAAGCTGGACGTTTCAACCATTTATTTATTACTTTTAGCTATTTATGTGACCTCTAGTATTTCTTGTTCATGAACCGTGAATTTTAAGGTGGCGTTAAGGTGTAAATACCCGACAAAGGTCAGGGAAACTGAAGCATGTCCTGTGCAGCGTGCCCTATCGTATGTGGTAGATTATTGGCTAATGCGAGAACAAAAGATTTTACATTGCGTCATTCATAGAATTTAGTGAGTACAATATTATTATTACAGATAGAAAAGATAAAAAATAAGACCCAGGTTGTATGAAAGAGGAATTTCCTTTAAGTATTAGTTTGGGCTTTCAGGACCACATGCTGTTAAACTCTAAAGGAAAACCGTATTCTATACAGGTTACAGAGGGCATTTTGAAAACGCCAGTGCAATTCAGATCAGGGGACTGAGCATCAAATATGCATAGATGGCAGGGAGTGGTGAGAAGTGAGGGACATTGAGTCATTAGTATTCCAGCAACTGGTGCAGTCAAAGGTGGAGGGTTGAGGAGGGGACTCAGAATCAGCCCAGCAGACCCAGGGCAGCTTATTGGGATAGAGAGGGAGCCCAGTCGCTGGGCTTAGACAGGCTCAATGCAGGGCTCAACTCATCACACGCCTGTCAGACAGACACCTGCCGCAGTGAGAGCAGTCACATACGTGCGCACACACACACACTTACACCTGCCTACTTACACAGACCCATTCTTACATCCAGGAGTTCTTCTCATGCAAGAGTTTCATGATGCTTTGAGTCGCAAGGAAACTGAATTTCCATAGCGTCATATTTCCATAATTTAAAGTATTTCTGATTGACACGGGACATTGTGTTGGGGCTAGCGTGTGTCATAAAATGTCCAAAAGTTCCAAATGCTTTGTGTTGTAATGAACCTGACACTTTTTTTGGTTGCCTTTTACTGCCTTTCGCAATTGTTTTGTGTGTTAATATATATATAAAACACATAGTGTAAACAAAAATTACTTCATCATATTGGCTTTATTTTTATATGGATTTATACATTTTAAGATTTTCCACCATTTTCCAGCAGTCAGAGTCCATTGAAAAAGTGAGTCTCTTTTACCTACTTAATTTACTTTAAATCCAGTGGAAAACATCAAAACATGATGATAATTAAAGAAAGCTTTAGCAGGTAACTTAACTTTTTGGAATATTTACCAAAACTTTCACTATATCCTGACAGTAGTACATGAGACAGATAACCTGTGAAAAAACTCCAGTTCCTCCAGCTCACACAGTTTTGTGTCTGAATGCATCCTGTGCAGACACAGATGCAGGTGAAGTTAAGTAAAAGTCTTTTCCATAGGCTTTCCAAAAAGACTTGACAATGAAAAGATGAAAGTTCGTTTCATGTGTCATACCGCGCAGATTATCCTACCCAAAATCAAATTTATTTCATTTTAATTCATTTTCAGGTGTTTTCATGCATGAAAAACTATTCTCCAAAACTCTCAGGTTTTTCAGGACATGTGAGAACCCTGATAAAGAGATAGAGAAAGCCATGCTTATTCCACCAGTATTTTTTGTTTATCTGTGTGTTCTGATTCAGCATGCATCATGATACTGAGAAAAAGAAGTCCTTCAATTTGGTTCAAAGGGTAAATTTTTTATTTGTACAGTTTCCACATTCTCCAATTTCAGCACAGGAATACAGCCATCTTGGACAATCACCACAAACACTGACTCTCATTTGTCATTAAACCAAAAAGAAAAGACAAAAAACTAAATAAAAAACATGCTTGGCTAGAAGCCTTGCCTCGGAAAGTAAGTAAAAATAAAATCATGTCCTGTTTTCTTCTTCTGTGTTGTGTAGCCATGGTGCAACTAGCCAATTTTTGCAGTTGTTTGCTGTGCATTTAAGCCACAAAAGTCTGCATGTGGTGCGTGTATTGGTTGTTTGGTGGACCAAGTTTTCTGCTGTTGCCATCATCTGCAAACTCATTTTGTTGAGGAAAAACTTTTCTTGAAAGATATTTTTAAAACACAAGTCAAAGGACAACACAATTGTGATATAAATTAAAGAATATATATTGCATTTCTTGCATTTACTACAAAATCTATGTATGTATAACAAGAAGAACCAGGAAGGTGAAGATGTAATTTTTCATGTGACTAAACGGAAATTTCAAAATTTGGCAGTTCCAATGTCTGTATTTTGAACTTCATTACCCAGAAATCCCACCAGGTGACATCAGTAAACTACACGTGGTATGCTCAGGTTTGCCAACTTTTGGATTTCAGCCAGTTTTGGATTCATCACTTGCTGCTCTCTGATGGGACCAGACGCAGTTTTAATTTGGGAAAAGACAGTGAACCTGTGCCTCTCTTCATCACTGCTGTTTCACTTGTCTCTGGTTGAAAGAACAGGTGTGTCTTAAACAAAAAACCTGCTTAGTGCCACTTTAATGACGTCTCCACCAATTTGGTTGCACATCCATGTTGTTGGTGTGTGCACATTTCGGCAGATCACTGTCAGAGCTGCGTTCTGACTGCGAGAGGCGCTGCCACAGCCAAGTGCACACAGCTTGCTTGTGTCACATTCAATTATGGCTCCTCCACTTTCCATGAGACAGTAATTGAGCCGGGGGCACTCACTCTATTTAAAACCATAGGAGCTCTGCAGTTCACATTGTGTCCCCTGAAAGCTCTATCTCTGCTGTTTTCCATCAGCAGAAGCCTCCCTGTGGGACCTGGTGTGGGTATCACAGAGATGGGATAAGATGGGGTTGGGCCGGGGTGCTCCAGGCACTGTTGGGGCAGTCTGACAACACCCCACCAACACACACAGGCACACCACCCAACAGCCTGCCACCCACCATTCTCACCAATTAGACACAAGATTAATCAGTCCATCGCCCATCATCCAGAAAGTCAGGATCCACAGCTGAGGCTGCAGTCCAGGTAGGGTGGAGCAAAACAGTCTCTGCCCTACTTTGCTGGTGTCTTGAATTTATTTTCACCCACTTTTCCACCTATCTTTGAGACTAAAAAAACATAGCAACCTAACACATTGTTACTCCAAACACTTTGACGTGCAGTGGGAGGAGCTGCAGATGGAACCGCCAACCTTATTACTGGACAACCCACTCTACCAACTAAACCACACACCTACTCCACAGAAAGACTTGTTTTTGATAAGTGCTCTTGAACATGCTTAAGAACATTTTCTTGCTGTTTAAGGTTCTTTAGGGAAATGAATGTAAAATAAAACAGAGGTCTTTAAGTCACACTTTGCAGCACTTTCGGTGCTTTGAAGAACCTTTTAATGTAAAAAAAAAAAAAAGTTTCCTTTTAAAGATTTTTTGGAATGATGAATGCCAAATGGTTCTTAGAGTCAACCTTTTTAGACATTTTTGTATATACAGACTTTCCTGCTCTTTTAACAATGTCACCTGACTTCAATGGCACATCAAAACATTACACCAGATGGGCACATCCAAAAATGAAGCCAGAGAGGTACCTACAGCATCATAGTGTAGGGCCACTGACCAAGCTGCCATACTTGACAACTTGGGAGTGACAACGTGGTTCCCAACCTTTAAGGGACTCCTTTTCTAGAATTTAGTAAACTGACGACCCCTGTTTAAGTGACATGGTATGGATATTTCATATTATATTCAAAACTGTATAATTGACCCAAATAGTGAACAATTTCAAGAAGTTTGTGTAAAACAAGTGATTTTGATGAATGTTGAGCAGATTATTTTTTATTTTAAGTTTAGGGAACCTTTTATACAACCAGCTTGTTTCAGTATTGCAGAAAGCACAAGTTTAACAACACAATGGTAAGACTTACAATAAAAATATAGATTTAGCAGAAATAAGGAGATATTTTGCTTCTTTAAATTACAAAATCAAGAAGATTACCTACAGTCACCTGGACTCTTATCTGTGGATTTACTGCTCAGCTCCCAGTGGCCAATGACAGTGGACTGCAGGTGTTACTGGGCAGCTCCCAGTGTGTGAAACAGAGAGGCTGAAAACAGCTGTGCCCATTCAGCAAAAGCTTTCCTCTCTTAGTAAAAACAAAATAAAACAACTGTAGTTTTGAACTGTCCTCCTCTCACAACTGCTGCTCTGAACTTTCTAACTAAAACCCCTGCTGACCCACAGTGCGTAATCAACGGAATTACTGCAGGAAACAAAAAACATTCTTTTCAATACCACGCAGCTGAATGCTGGGGCCCCCTGAGCAGAAGCCAGGGAGGAGGCTTGTTTGAAATAGCAAGGGCCTCATCACCCGATCCCTTTAATGACTCCCTCTCTCCTGCTCTGACACTTAGGAAGATGAAAAGCAGAGATCCAAATCACATTAACACAAGCTGACTTATTCATATTTAGGCTGATTTCAGTCCATAATCTCTCAGCTCAGATGTTCACTGGGCTTATTAATACATGAAAGAAAAGGCCTAAGTCTATAAATCTGACATTAAATTTTAAACACTCCTGCATATCTTGTCTTTCATCTGTTTTAAAGGAACTACCCTTCGTTGGTGGATTAAAACATGGCTGCCACTGAGTGCAAGTTACATGACCAGCAGTGGGTAAGGACCACCCTCCATGTTGATGAAACTCATAGACACGCTGTACATGCTGCTCTTTATAGTGCAAATCCACAGGCGCTCTTATAATTGAAATGATTTGCTTGACATTCTTCCCTTTTAGGAGAAAGGATGTGGAGACATGATCAGTATACATCCCATGACCACTAATAGGACAACCAGTCTGCAAGTTCTCCTTATGACTCCTGCAGCAGTA